GACCAAATTCTTGCTTTGCAAAGCAAAAATTTAAATTTAAATACATTTATTTAGTCTGGCTTGCCAGGCTAGTCATTTGTGACATGGAGGTCACATTCTTAACTGCAGCATCAACTTCAACATCACTTCACACACATTTAAAGAGCAAGTCAACCCCTACCAGAGTCTAACTCCACTCCCACTTTATGTTTGAAAAATGCAACAAATGCTGTTGCCTGGCAGACCGAGAGGGCGGAGCCGCTAACAAATACACACACACTCAGGCTCACAACAGCATTGTGACATCATAATGTACCAGTTTACATCATAGCATACTTCTTAGCCAATAGCGGTGGCAGGTTTAAATTAAAATACAGTGCAGAGTTTTTACCTGACAACGGCACAACACTGCCAGTTTGAGGCAGAATATTTAAATTTTAACTAAGATGCACTGAAGTGCCAAATTATTGACGACACGTGTCTGCAGCACAATTAGACGCTCCTTTATTTAGTTTATCAGCAAAAAAAGTTTATTTGGGGGTGACTTGCTCTTTAACTGTGATATTGTGTTGATGTTAATTGAAAAAGAAGCTTGAGATATTTTTAGTACCGACTGTTTGCTTTAATTTACTGTTAGCATTGTTAGCTCAATGTTAACCTCTAGCCTTCTTTACCCGCCAAAGTAAAATAAAAAGACACCGTGGCTTCTTAAGGGTAAAACAAACAACTTCTGGGTCGGTCCTGTTTACTGGCTTCAGTTCTTAATCATCAGTGGACTCAGTTGTCTCCTTTAAAAAGCAGCAAAAAACTCACTTGTTCAAGCTGCTTTGGTGTGACCTTTCTACTTATTCCGCCTTTCCTGCGATCCACTGATTTACCGCTTTCCTGTTCATTTTCTCTCCCTTTCCTTACATTATTGTTTTTTAATCACAATTTAATTATGTTGTGTTAAGCAAACATAACCGTGTAAGTCATAGCAAATTGGACACAGGATGATGACAGAGATGCAAACATACAGAGATTTCCAGAAGAATATGAACATCACTCAGAAAAGGCTGACTGTGCAAACTTTCCACAGCAGTGAATAAACATCTGAAACACGATCACCCTGGAGCTGTGAAGCAGCATCGCTGCTTTTGAATGTGCAATATTAGCATTAATAACTAGTGGCGAGTGTTTTTATTGACAGACTTCTTATTTTTAAGATTAGTGTCCCCCCCCACCCCCACCCCCACCCCCCACCCCACACACACACACACCCTACAGTGTAAATGTTACAGTCCTGCAATCAGACCTCTTGAAACAACCAGCTGTGATGCATCTAATTAAAAAGGAAGAGTTATCAGTTACATCAAGAGCGGGTATGAGACCCAGATGCTTGCTGATAGCTACCTTTGACTGCAGGCTGTGAATTATTAAAACTGCACTTCAGGCATATTGATGAGCTGAGAGATGACTCTGCTGACTCCCTCAGGAAAAGGTCAACCTCCCCTACACACACACACACACACACACACACACACACACACACACACACACACACACACACACACACACACACACACACACACACACACACACACACACACACACACACACACACACACACACACTTGTTTCACCACTGTAGACCTGTAAAGATGGTGGATTAGCAGCTTGCTAAAGACCGTATGAGACTGCAGGTTGGGGCAGGTTCCAGCTGAAGTTGGCTGAAGCTGACAGTCTGTTGTGTCTCTGATGCTGTGAAGATCAGGTTCACAACAACCATTAAGCTTCATTGTAATGAGAATGTTGCCACGGCGATGCGTGGAGGTGAAAACACCCAGCTGAAGCTGCGGTCTCTAGCTCAGAGGCATAAAGTGATAGGTGGGGTGTAACCTGTGACTCCCATTCATCACTGAAGATCAACGACACCATCCTCAATTTAAATTTGACACGTTGTCTTAAGGTTCCACTTCTGTCAGCAGAAGGCTTAGAAAGATTACGGAACACATCTGGTCGTATTTACTTTGCAACAGATCATTTCTTAATGCTACATTAACCTGAAACGATGTTCTGGTCTTAGTCTCATTTCAGTTTTGCTGTTAGAAAAACACGTGAATAATAAAATTACTTATAATAACAATGGATTAGATGAGTGATTTGAACTGTCTACTGTGTGAAAATACAGTAAAACACAAATGATACCCTCACCCAGTTCAACACCAAGAAACTAGAAAACCAAATGTTTTCTTATTACAAATATGAGATATTTTTTTGTGTCTCATATCTACAAAGTTAAAAAGTAACCTTCTTCACAAAAAGAGCAGTAACTGGCCTGTATTTGTATAGCGCCTTCTTAGGGTTCTACAACCCCCCAAGGTGCTTTACAACACAATCAGTCATTCACCCATTCACACGCTGGTGGGGATGAGCTACGATGTAGCCACAGCTGCTCTGGGGCGCACTGACAGAGGTAAGGCCTGATGAACACAGGCACCACCGGTCCCTCCGACAACCACCAGCAGGAAAGGCAGGTTAAGTGTCTTGCCCAAGGACACAACAGCAGAATTCTCTGATTGGAGCCGGGATCAAACCTGCGACCTTGTGATTACTGGACCACCCGCTCTACCTCCTGAGCTACTGTTGTCCCAAATACTTTTTCTTTTCATCAAAGATTGAATGTTAATTTAAAATAACTAATTCTTGAAGCTCCTTGAGTACTTTCATGTTACCAGTTCAGAGCCGTGTCTTGAACGTAACTGAAAAGGTAACTCAAAATTGAAAAGGTACTTCAGATTATTTTTTCAAGTGCTTATTTGTGCCCCCCCCCCCCCCCCCCCCAAATAACAATTTAAGATGATTCATCCACTTTTACTACTGCTGATGGTTCAAAAACATCTGAAACGTAATGAGAGCCTAAAACAGACGATGGTGCAGGAGGGTGTGATGGAAGATGCTGAGTGAGCTCACAGGGATAGGTCAGAGCGACATAAAATAGATTTCACTGAGTGAGTGAGTGTGTGTGTGTGTGTGTGTGTGTGTGTGTGTGTGTGTGTGTGTGTGTGTGTGTGTGTGTGTGTGTGTGTGTGTGTGTGTGTGTGTGTGTGTGTGTGTGTGTGTGTGTGTGTGTGTGTGTGTGTGTGTGTGTGTGTGTGTGTGTGTGCCAGTGACAAAGCATTTTCAGGCTCTACAGCTGAGCTCTGAAGAACAGATGTACACAGAGCCAACATTTAACCACATAAAGATTCACAATAACGGTTACTGTGCATTATGTAAAAACAGTTAGTTTAAATACCGTAACCACATTCCACATTGAAGCAGAAGACCACATCAGGTGTCTCTCCCGACAGCCAAGAACATGAAACCGAGGCTACGACTAACACAGGACCAGCAGAGACTGGAAAATGTTTGCTGTTCTGGTATTTCAGTTGCAGCATTCAGATGGTTGGATCAGAATTTGGAAACAACATGAAAGCGTGGATCCATCCTGCCTGTATCAATGGTTCAAGATGCTGCTGGTGGTGTAATTCTATTTAGATGTTCTGGACCCCATAGTTCCACCTAAGCCAGGTTTAAACACCACAGCCTACCTGAGTATTGTCGCTAACCATGTCCGTCCCTTTATGACCACACGGACCCATCTTCTGATGGCTACTTCCAGCATCAAGTCACAAAGCTCAGATCATCTCGAACTGGTTTCTAGAGTATGACCATGAGTTCATTGGACGCCAGTCACCAGATCTCAGTCCAGCCCAGAACCTCTGAGATGTGGTGGAACAGCACATAGTGTAAATGCGGGGAACCCTAGTCCTCGAGGGTCACTATCCTGCATGTTTCAGTTGTTTCCCTGCTCCAACACTCTTGATTCACCCCTTTTCAGCAGCTCTTCAGGCTCTGCAGAAGCCCTATAGTGACCTGCTGATTAAAACCAGGTGTGTTAAAGCAGGTTTCCCTGTGGTTTCCCTGTTTTAACACACCTGGTTAAAACATACACATACCAGGGTTCCCCACTCCTGATATAGTGGATGTGCAGCAACTGTGTGATGGCAGATTGACCACTCATGTCAACGAAAAGCAGATCTTCTGAGGAGTGTCTTCAACACCTTGTTGAATCGAACATGAAGGAATTACCCACAGCAAGAAAACGGCAATTACATTTTTACTTTTTGCAGATGTTACGCATCTGTGATGAAGTTTATAAAACGATGTAAACAATAAAAAAGAACAATATTAAAATGAATGTAAAACTTTCATGAAGTAATCATTAAGTTTTTCTTCAAATATCTCCATACATTTAAAGTTTTTAAACCTGAGAATTACAGTTACATTTAATCCAACATCTGAATTAGGATTTAGTTTTAGACCGTTTTCTCTGACAAAACCAGGTTGCTTATTATAGATTATTTATTATCTACAAAGGAAAGAGGCAGGCTTGTAAACTGAGTCGCTGAAGTAAACAGAGTTCTGGGTCAAAGTCTGAATGCACAATAGGAAGCCGGGCAGTGGAGGAGAAACATGAGGCCAGCAGCTTTTGTCCTCTCTCTCTTCCACTCAGCTCCAATGACGTTTCAGCTGTTTACCACAAACACTTATTTACTAACATCAGCTCACCTAACCCTACTCCTATCTACATCTAGTCTTCTCGTTTTCTTCCTCTCCTTTTGTTGCTGCTGGGTTTGCAGGTGACAAGCGTGTTCTGGCCTCAGGAACAAGGGTCACATCTCAGCACACACAAACCCCACAGATATGCTAAAGACAAAAGGAAGGAAGGGATCCAGTCTGGATCATTCAGAGATTGTTTTGGTCCTCCACTGGTCCAGTATCCTGTTCTGACTACAGGAGAGCCTCCAGCACCTCATTCATAAATATGCTTTAAATAGAACGGAAGGGGATTCAAAATAAAAGCACATTTATGAAAATGCACTAATGTCTTATTTCCGGCTAAATCAGGTTGGACTGTTCTAGTGTGTGTGTTTATAATGATGCTGAAGCAGAGCAGGTGTGACAGCATCATATAAGAGGGTCCTCCTCATCCTTACCTCAGAGCCACCCGCACAGAGCTCTCATCCGGTCCGCTGCTCATGGTGTCAGCGAAACCTTAGTCCCGATTAAAAATAGCTCGATTTCTCCTTTCGCTCTTTCTTTATCCTCTTACTGCTGCGCGGCGCGGTCCCCTCCCCCTCCTCTGAAGGCTCTCACTAAGCGCTTCTATTCAGCAGCGTCACCACCACCACCACCGCTGCCGCCGCTCACAAGAACACCAGTTGTTCCCGGAGGAGAGAGCCAGCCGCTAAATACCAGCAAGCTCGTTTTCCATAGTCCGAGGGAATGAGGCTCACGAGCCGGCGGTGGTCACCTCTCCAGCGGCATCGTCTCAGCCTCCAGCTTGAGTGGTGCGAGTGGGGTGGGAGGAGCCAGCCAGCAGCAGCTGAGCGTGATTGACGCTTTACGTAAACAGGCTCCTCCTACTGAGCTGTCCCAATCCTGACAAGAGAAAACTACTATCTAAATAATAATAATTTTAATAAAATTATTACTAATATTATTATTATCAGTAGTAGTAGTAGTATACACTGTTCCTATTCCCATTTGCTTTTGTTTGTGTATAAATTTGGCGAGATACATTTCTAGGCCCGTGTGTGTGTCTGTATTTTCTGTATTAATAAACACCCATCTAGACATCTTGACCAGGGAAAGGACAACAAAGGCCACTTAAAGTGAGTGTGTATTTTTCCTGGCAATAGGGGGCAGTACATAAATTGTTGCAAGCAAGCAGTATTTTTGTGTTAGAGTAAGATTTTACCAATGGATGCTCATTAGGGTCAAAAAGCCCTGGGGAGAGGACAATTTAGCAAAACATCAAGCACATCAGACTCCCTTTCATCACTGGTAACAAGCGAGGAGGTAAATGTGTAAAACAACAACATTTAAGAATGATGAAAGTTTAGTAACCATTTGTTACAAATCAGTAAATGCAGTTTGCCCTCATGGGCTCCTGTAGAAAGAAACAAATTACCTGACACGTGGGAGGCGATCCGCGGCAGCGGCAAAGCCGTCTACGCGTTCTGTTCCATGGCAAAATCGAAACTTCCATTGTTTTGTTTGGCTGTGTCAGGTTGGAGGGAATTAAGGTTATTTAAGTGGTTCAGAGTTAATAAAGCGGTAGATATGATGTTTCACAAGGTGCTGCTAGAGTTATGTGAAATCTTACTTCTGATTTTACTATATAAAACATAATAATAATCAACTTCTCCTTCATGTTTGCTCGGAGGTGTACGGAGCATCCTGTCCGCTCATTGGTCAGTGAATGAAACCTCAGATGATTGGTCCTCGTCCAAGCGACAGCGATGAAAAGTTGAAAATGTTTCAACTTTCTGGGATCGCATCGCTGGGTCGCCTGTGCACGACACGTGCACGAGCGCAAAATTTCACACGCACGTTTTTCACGTTTCGCTTGGTAGGAGGGAGACCCGCGATTATCGCCTTGTCGCGCATGTCTCATTGAAAATGAATGGAGGAGAGGCGATGTCGCCTCCCGTGTGTCGAGCCCATTATATGTTACAAATCCACCAATATTTTTCAACAACTGGGCACCATTTTGTTTTTTTCAACAACAGTTTGATGGATTTTTTCCAAAAATAATGGTAAAAACTACACATTGTCTCTTTAAGCTATATTTTCACGTAAAGTGCTGGTTTCACAGGTTTTTAGACAGGACCACCATGAAATAAGTTTTTATGCAGACAGTAGATTCAAAACTAAGAAAACAATGTCCAACATTCATGTCAATTTAAACATCATTTCAGGTGATGTATTTATATTTTGTAGCAGTCCGTGACAAATATTATGCATTTATTTATTCATAAATGCATTGTTAGCTAGAAAGACACTAACCAATATTTTAGTGTAAAAAAGATTAATCCTAACCCTAACCTTTTATTACATTGGTATTCGTGAAAAACACCATCAAATATAATTAGATTCAATATATCATCATGAGAAAGAAATAGAAATAGCTAATAGGACTGTGCTGGTGTGTCATTTAGATATTTATGTCGTCAGATGTAATGTACAACACATGAGTAACACTGACCTCCACTGGTTCAATCATAAAACTACACTTAAGGAATACAACTGATGTAATTCGTTCAATGGCCAGCAGGTGGCTATACAAAACCTTCCTGCTCATTTTAGCAGGAAAAAGCACAAAAATGGACACAATTATGTAACCAATGAATTTCCCTTAATCATAAACTAAGTATAGAACCATTAATATAAAACAACAACATTTCTAAATGGTGTCCTTCAGGGACATAATTAACATTTATAGGTCAAATTATTTTTATCAACTATATTATTTAGGCTGATACATTATCAAAGAGCACATATAGTTTTGGGACGTCTTCATGAGACCCTTTTAAGCTTTGCAGCTGATATGTTTTAATTCTAAATGAGTGTGTGCTGGTTCTCCCACAACACACTCCTTCCAAAAGAAATTAACGGTGAAGTTGGCAAGCCCAGGAGCAAAGAGCCGCTTGAACATCAATGAGGCATATCCCCAGCTTTGCCGGTCTTTGGTGGAAAATAGATTCTGTTTGGAAACTCGGAGCTTTGTAACATAAAATAATAATCAAATCAAATCAAAGCTTTATTTATAAAGCGCCTTCCGCAACCCTGTCAGGAAGCCCAAGACGCTGAACAATAATAATATGAATAATAAAGGGAAACACAAAAACTAATCATCATGGTAACAGAGACTTAGTTTCTGATCTGCCTAACAGGTACATTTCTTCACCGTTTCATAATTTCTTGGAACATCTTAAATAAATGCTTGATTGACACAGATTTATAAAGTACAAACGCAACGATCATCGTCTAATTCAATCAGCACTCAGAACTGAGAAGTTAAGATGTTTATTTAAACGTAATTGTTGGATCTTTAACACATAGCTATAGCTTACTGATACTTATCAAGAGTATAAATCTGTGGGGAAGCAAGTTTTATCCTCTGAACATCAGAGAACATAAAGTTAATGAACACTGAGACAAAATGTTTGCTTCAGAAAAAGTTACAAAAACAAAATGGTACCCAAACACCCTCCCAGAGGAACTCCTCTCAACCATCCAAGAACAGTGTGGTTATAAACGCCATTTCCAGCATCATGGAAGCTAAAGTCAAGTGGCTCAAAGGACACGGCATACATATTTTTCATAATGTTCAGGAAACTTCACATACCTTAATCACAGTTTGACATTTGTAAAAGGCAAGTGAAAAAAACCCACTAAATCTAACAAACTAACCTAATGATTACACAAAAATACAAAAGCATAGAAGAAGCAAACTTTTTGTCCAACCAATATCTCTCAATTTTGGAATTTTCAGCCACATCTGTATATTCTGAACACCATACTGATTATTTTGTCCCCGCAGGAAGTGTAAAAAGTGAACACCCATAGTGTTTGGTCTAGCATGTTTGTTTCTATTTAAACAATAGCTGTTCTCTATTGCATGGAAGGTGGTGGTAATGTATGATAACCCACATATAAGTGCATAAATGACTTGAGCTTAAAAGAAGTATGACCTGTAGAAGTTGAACTAAACATATGTTGTCACTAGGCACTCATGCATTCATTTTAGAGAAAAACTGCAAAAAACTATGTGGAGAAAGAAATACAGCAGGACTCTTTCTCTAATTTTTTTATTAGCAAGAAAATACATCTTCACTTTTCAACATAAAGTGACGTTAGCATGTGGGTTTTGAACAGACATGATTTATGTTGCTTTGTGCAACTCTCACAATGATGTTAAAACATACAGAATAACCTATGAGATCATAAGAAAAGAGGAAAGAACATCACAAGCATTCAAAACGTGTTAAAAACTAACCCTGCATTAAGTCCTTGTGACCAGTGGGGGCAGCAGAAACAATCACAGCACTGACTAAAGCTCAGAGTTCTGCAACAAGACCACTCACAACTCAGACCTGCAGCATATTTAAAGTGACAAGAGTTCCATCTAATCAGGAGCATTTCAGTAAAAAGTCACTCCGTCATTTCTTCTACCATCCTGTCAAATTAAGATCATGGTTTTTAAAAAATGTTATTGTCGGTTTTAGCTGACCTGAGCTGTTCTCTTTATCTGGCTAGACTTTGTGTCATTCAGCGGCTTGTGTTTCCTCCTGTCAACAAAATCTGAGCAGAAAGCATCACTTGATTCAGGCCAGAGACGCTCATCCATAGTGGTGTTAAAAACAGCTTTACGAGCTGGTTTCACGAGTGTATCGTAAAGCTTACGGCTTTTGCATAACAAATAAAAAGGTATTATTATCTTCTTAAGAGTCCAGATCATGTTACACAAACATGATGGGGCATCCAAGGTGCAGTTTTCAGATTTAAGCAACTATTTTTATTCTTTATGTTTCTTTTAGTTCTGATGACAGCAGGTGTGCATCACTGATCTCAGGTGGGGAGGTGTTAATAAAAGCTAAGCTTACAAAAAGCCTAAAATGCAGATGCAAATGATATCTATGTTTAAATCTGAAATTATTTGGGTATTTCTTTGATGATTCTCACAATCCGGTGTGCAGTCTAAAAAGCAGCAGCGAATTTGTTTACATTCTGCTAAAAGATGATCTTATTGTCTCATTTTTACACTTACTTACCATTTGAAGCTGAATAATTTGGGATTATCACACCGCACCGTTTAAGCTTTAGTTGTGTGTGTTTGGACACATTCATAAGAGGTAAGAAATGTAAGGTTTAGATCATAAAAACGTACTAATTATTAGTCAGTTTGTGGAAATGAATAAAACTACATATTAGACTGACATGCTCAGGTACAATCGTAGGAACTCCTGGTTTGTTTGAGTTTTAGGGTAAAAACAAAACCATCACTGGCCCTCATGAGGGGAACAGTGGGGGTGTTCACAGCTTCTAAACACCTGGAGCAGAGTAAAGATTTACCTGCTCTTGTGAGTTTAACAGCTTCAGATCTACTTCACCGTGGAAAAGTTTTTACCTTACAGATTTCTTCTGGTTTACTACTTCACACCCAAATGTTTCAGATAACCTGAGTAAACACACGATGCAGATTTTAAATGATGATTTCATTTTTCAAGTCAACCAAGCAAAATGAAAGAGTAACAGTTAGTATAGTTATAGTTAGTTCAGTGTCACCAGCCACACCGTGCTCTGATTATCTGTAGAGTTAAGGCTAAAGGAGCTCAAAAGACAACACTTCACACTCCCTTCTATAAGACAAGAGGCATCATGGCGTCTGTGGGAGAACGAAAACACAAACTGACAATAATTTTAAAGAATTTTTTAAAAATGGACGGTTATGACCGACAAGATCATTCGGAAAAATATTCTGTGGACTGAAGAGACAAAAACTGAAGTTTCTTCAAGGTTCTCCATCTGATGTAAGAATAACATACATCAGACTAGGGCTGGATGATATGGCCTAAAATCAATACCAAGATATATTGAGGATTTCACCTCGATAACGATAGACGATGACTACAGGTATGCGCAGAAACAAAAGTTGTCCACTAGATGGGGCTGTCACATGTAGTAAGTAGTCACATTTTTATGTGACTCAAGGTGGTGCAGTTTCCTAAAGGGACATGAACGTTGCCAACCTACACACATTTTTTCATTTATTTATTATCAAATTTATTGACGTGGGAGCAATTATCACGATAAGCATTAGTAATATCGATAACGATACATTTCCGATTTATTGCCCAGCTCTACATCAGATGGATATCAGATGGACATCATAGCAACAGTTGAACATAGAGGTGGTAGTGCGATGGTCGGGGGCTGCTTTGCTGCATCAGGACCACTAGCTGCTCTTCAGCAGAACATCCTGAATGTGAATGTCTGACCTAAAATGACCGTCTGCGGTGGAAAAACCTCCAGTGTGTCTGAATTAAAACAGTTGTGCAAATAATGTGGCTCTTTCCTCCCAGCAGAGGTTCCAACTCAGCACCTATTGGACCTTCAGGTAAGGGGAAGCCCACAATCGAGTCAACAGAGCTGTAAACGACAAAATGTTGCTCAGTATTACCTCCTAATAGGATCCTTCTGTTAAAGAGCAATACAACTCACTGTGAACATTATTCTACCACAGAATGCTCCTAAATGGCTTGTATGCTGATGTAATTGCTGATCATGTTGATGTGATGCATCTTTAGTTTTATTAAATGCTGTATAACAATGATAATCACCAAATATTTTAATAAATAAAATCATTGTTTTCTGTTTACTCAGACCACCTTTGATTCGTTTCCTGATCTGAAACATTTAAGTGACAAAGAGCAGAAAGAGAAATCTGTAGGAGGGTAAAGACTTTACCAAAGCACTGATAACTCCAGACATGCAAGTAGTGGTTATTGTGGTTCAAGCATCCCAGAGGCAGGAAACCCCAACTCTATCTATGAAGAAGATTGAATTACAGCTTTTCTATGTAAATCACTGTGCATGCCTGATAAGGACAGCTGTCATTCATTATAAAACAGCGCTGATACATGATTATCAGGAATGCAACGTGCAAGTAAACACACACTTTATAATTAAATTACGATGACGTCTTTAAAGCCTTCAGGCCTTATTATGCACTTAAACAAAGCAGACATGTGCTTTGTGTCAACACAGGACCGAACACCAACAGCTGGCTGATGTGTGTGTGTGTGTGTGTGTGTGTGTGTGTGTGTGTGTGTGTGTGTGTGTGTGTGTGTGAGACAGTTTCATTGTCTGAGTGACTACCTGCTCCACTGAGAGGCAGCTCACAGAGGACCCCCTCAGCTTATTGTGTTTGTTCAATAAACCAGAAAGATGCGGTTCAGCAGCTCAGCCCGAATCGCTAATGGCTCTAATAATAGTCCGAGCCTGGGTCGGTGGTCCGATCAACGCTGAGGTGGAGGTAAGAAAGACGATTGTTGTAATTTCAGAATCAGTGCCTCGATCATTACGACTTCATTTGACAATCAAACAAATGAAGAAAACTAGTTAATTTGTTTGTTTTTGAACCAGATATCAGATACAGACTCTTTAGGATCAAACCCACATTAATGAATTTAAACTCCATACTTATTAAAAACAAGTCGGCTGCCTCCAAGCATGGTTACCGTAATACAACAAGTTGGTGCGCACATAAAAACTGAATATAAAAGTACCAGAAACAAGCCATTTCTGTATTTTTTTTTTCTGGTATCAGATTTAAAAACAAACATCCAGTCACTTGTTTTTTCATTTAGAGAAAAAAACGATGGCCTGATTTTTCAGATTATGAAAACTCACTCAGACTTGAGCGTGGCTCGGTTTAGGAGGTAATACTGCTTTGGGCAAGAAGGTAGATTCTCCAGCAGACGTCTGCTCACGTCACTCGGAAACAGCCCTCTGAAGATAAAGTGCTAAATGCAAAACAATCATCCTGTTCTCTGACCAGTGACAGAAATTCATCTGGATGCAGCGTAAACTTTAAAACGCTCCGATAAAAACAGGGCTGCATAATAAACACACACTTTTCTCTCTCCTCTCCTTCAAATTTGTAATCTTGATGTTGTTGGTGAGTTTTAGCGATAATTTAAATCAGCTTTGAGGCTTTTAGGGCAAAACATGTTATGAAATCTATATGCTGCTTTACAGAGATGAGAAGTGGATGTTTGTGCAGCCCTGATTTAAAAATCTGCACGAGTAGAGTCAGCATCAGAAGGAGCAATGCATTTTCTACTTCCTCCTCTCAGGCAAAAGCTGAATAAAGGAGGCATGGGGGTGCTCGGGTTATTAGAGTAAATCTAAAAGGAGAAGATTGCCACTGGATTTCTTTTTCTTTCCTAATCACCCTAGCCCCCCCATCACTCCTCACCCTCCCCTCTCACTCCTCAGCTGTTTTCAGGACGGAGTCATCTCCCAGGATTTTACAGAGCTCGTTGAGGCGATTCTGCATCTCGGGAATGCCAGCGAGCTGTGCTTCCAGTCGCTGCTTCTCCTCTGTGAGGGAGAGGCGCGTTGCCGAGTCCAGCTGCTCAAAGCGCCAGCCGCCCTCGCCGTCAAACTGAAGCAGGTGGGTGTGGTACTTCCTTTACGGAAAAGGGGGTTTTAGGAGGAGGAGTGAATATGATCTGCTTTGTGATTACAGGCTAAATGAATCCCACAGAGTCTCACCACAGGGAGGGTCGGTGTGTGATGGAGAGCAGGGAGATGCCGGCGTCCTTGGCAGCCTGGAAAATCTTCCCCTCAACGTCGATGCTCACGGCGCTGGTGCACTCGTCCAGCAGGGCGTATTTAGGCCTGAACCAGAGAGAGCAGAGGGATTCATTTATGGGCCATTCCCATCTGTACCGGGTCGGCCCGGGCCGGGTAGCCCCAGTCGGCCCCAGCCTGGCCCAGTTGATTCCACACATCCTTGTCTTAAGCCCATGTGGGCTGATTCTACCCACCAATCAGAGGCTTGCTCTAATGGAAGGTGTGCATTTGCTGTCAGCAGTGGGTGTGTTGGCCCTGGTCGGCCTGAAGCAGACCCCCTCGAGAAGAGGGCTGAGAATGAGCCTCGGTTGGCCCGGAAAAATACCAGGCCACCCAGATATGTAAACAACCTACACTACCCGGCCCGGGCCGACCCGGTACAGATGGGAAAGGCCCATAAGATGCTCAAAGGTGAATGTGTCGTTCTACTGGAACAGGTTTATTAGGACCAAAGACCTGAGAAATAGGGTCAGGGTCGGGTATTGTTTAGTTCAACTTTGACCAGGACACTGCCCACATTTTCTCTCTCTATTCATTTTTTCTCAGGCTGATTTTTGTTCTACAATTAAATGCTGGTTATAAAATATCAGCATTAATTTATGTTAGTATTAGATAATAAACTATTCAGTTTTAAATAATATATTTCTAAAAATATTATTATTATTTCCTCTTTAAGGATTTAAAGAGTTAGCTGTGAATTATTGGTGTTTAAAGGCAGTTTTGCTTGCTTTTAGCACCCCCTAATGTCATTATTAATTACCTGTGGTCCCCGCTGTGCGTTTGTCTTTGTTAAAAGCTGACATGTCTCCTCAGTCTTCATTAGTATCTAGAGGAGTGATTCATTGCTAAATCACACAAATCAGCTGTGTTAAAACATGCAGGAAACATGCTGGAGGCATGGCCTGCCACACTGAAGTTGCAAATGCGGTATTCTGGCCACAGAGGGTGGAAGGAGTCTGAGTGACATTTCATTAACCTTGTAAAGGGTCATTTTGGCACTAACTGGCTCAAGAAAATGGTTTAGAAATATGAAAAATTTGCATAGAATTGCTTTAAAGACAAATAAGTGTTCATTTTTACGCATCCAATCGATTTATAAAGATGGCTCCAGGTGAGCCAAGTCCTGCCAAGCAGGTGAATAAACAACATTCTTACTTGTGGTAGAACATGCGCGCCATGCCCATCCTCTGTTTCTCTCCTCCTGACAGAACATCCTTCCAGTCCAGCTCTGCGTCCCAGCCTGGTTATAAAACAGGTTCGTTGGCTCCTTTAAAGGCACACTGATTATACTGAGCTGTTGTGAGTATGCTCCTACCACCCTCTCTAGTGACAATGTGGTTAAGGTTGACTATGTCCAAGATGGCCTCCAGATCCTTGTCACCGAGCCCTCTGGCAGCCATGTCCTCTACAGAGTCTGGGTAAATCACCTGGTCTCGTAGCGTCCCGATTGACATGTATGGCCTGGGAAAACACACGTTACACTGTGAGACTTTCATTCTTTTCACTTTAGTCTTTAATGTGTCAGATCCTGTTACAGCTCCCAGGCTGCCGTCTGGTATAAAATATTCACCACCATGCAGGGGGGAGTCAGCTGAGTCAGCAGCAGCAGGCATGGTTACATTTACAGGCTTGGGCCGGCTCAGATTAAGGCCATCGGATCGCCGTGATCGTTCCTGGCTCTAGTAAAACCATCATTATGTTTAACTATCCACACAACTGGTCTCATCCGATTTAGACTATAGAGGTAAGGAAGTCCACACGAGAAGGTAAACAGAACAATACGAGTTAATCTGCTGGGACAGTGTGAGAAACTAGAACAATAAACTGGTTTTATCAGGTTTTCTGTGTCTGGCTTTCGTGAACAAAGTCAGAAAGTACGAGTCTGGAGACATCGGCCCAATCCCAATACTCGCACTGCGCCCTACGGTCTTCTGTCAAGTACAGCAAAGGATTATGGGTAATACCATTCGTCCAAGTCGGCATCGTTGTAGAGGAGGGTGGAAAAGGGGCGTGGCCAATTTCTGCACTTGAGGATTGGGACACCCTACGCCAGGGCTATTCAATTCCGGGCCTCGAGGGCTGGTATTCAGCAAGTTTTAGTGTTTCCCTGCTCCAATTCAGTGGTCGAATCAGCTGTGCAGCAGCTCACCAGGCTCCGCAGAAGGCTGTTTATCACCTGCTGATTTAAATCAGTTGTGTTGAAGCAGGGCTTAACCAGAACATGCTGGACATCGGCCCTCGACGCCTGGACATGAATAGCCCTGACCTACGCACTCGCACCCCTGGACTGGAACGTGCAATTGAAGGGCGCAACAGTGGAAGTGTGGGTATTGGGATTGGGCCATAGAGAGGGGTTGGTGACCAAACTTAAACAAAATGAACCCTTTGAAGATTACTGTTGCAAACCTGCATCAAACCACTTCTACTCAAGCCAGCATGATTATAACTAAAATTGTCTCTTTCCCTCACAAATTTGTCTCCAAACAGTAAGATGTTTGAGTTCTTCAAAATAAAATACACTCCTTTTCAGGTTGAACCCTAACCCTAATCCAAAACAAGATGTGTCACTTCGGATGAAAACATGAATCAGGTCAACATTTGTAGTTTCGTTTTATCCTATTACGAGATTTTAGCTGCTCAAGCTTGTGAGGTAATTTAATAATATTCATAATGATATAAAGCACATAATGGTAACATGAGTAACAGATCTGGATTACAATTTGACATCAATGCTTTAAATGATCCATGCAGTCTCAGCATTCAGCATCATTCTGGTTTTCATGGTTGCAGACGATCTCCCTTCAGCTTTCTCAACATCAAATCCCTCAAATAACTTCATAGATGTGAATCTTTAACAGTTCGGTGGTGTTTGTAGGAACTATCTGAACATCTGACTGTTGTCGCACATATTTCAATTAGATTTTCAAATGAAAATAATAAAACAATAACTGCAATATGTGTGCACTTTATTGTGAAGTAAACATGTCACACTTTATACAGCTCAGGTTTCTCTGTCCCAGACACACACAGGTCTGGTTACAGAGGATAGGATTACTACTACAGTTCAAACGGTCTCTGCTATAGAATATCAGATTATTGTGTGTGTGTGTGTGTGCGTGCGTGCGTGCGTGCGTGCGTGTGTGTGTGTGTGTGTGTGTGTGTGTGTACCTCTGAGGGATGTAAAACATGTGTTCTGGAGAGGGTTTGTGTAGCCGGCCGCCATAGACGGGCCACAATCCGCTGAGGATCCTGAACAGGGAGCTTTTCCCACATCCGTTGGGTCCTGTGATCAGCAGGTGCATGCCCTCCTCCACCTGAGAGGGAGACACCTTCTGCATGAATCACTATGAAAACAGGACTTTTCAGGAGATGAAGCAGTGGAGACAATTAGACAAAAAAAATCTTCATGCAACTAAACTAAAACCCGACAACTAAAGTAAATATTGCGATGATATGAGAACGGGTCTTGCTGCTAAGAAATGAACATTCATAATTATGACTGTATTTTGTCCGGCTCCTGTGCTGAGTTACATCACGGTGTAAAGGACGCGTTGTTTAAAATGAAAAATCCAAACTTGTGTCAAATCATCAGGAAATAATTGGGTTACCTGGAACTTCCAGAACCCAGAAACAGGTCTGGGATCTGGAGTAGATGTTATGTTTGTGTTTAACAAAAAACAGAACGTTCAATTAGGGTCATTGTGTCTTCCTTTTGTTCAAAACTAGTAAGTGTCAGGTTGTTTATTTCAGACAAGGCTTAGTTTATTTTAACTTGCTTTGATTACACACTGCAGTCTCTCACTTGTCCCATTTGGTTGTCCATCAGACTCATCTTTGAGCCAGCATTGATCTGTTTTCTGACTTTATTAATATCTGACTGTCTCAGTTTATAATGTAATTATTTTGATTGCAACAGTTTGATTTGACCCATCTGAGGTTTTTCTGTTCAGCTTCCTTTTGATCTGCTCCTGGTGTTTCCCTTTCCTGTTTCCTTGTTCTTCCAAGAAAGCCAGTGGAAACATGACCAGAGAAGGTAAAAAAAAATGTTTATTTTCTGAACAAAAGGACTTGACATGAGTAATGGATCTACGAAGAGACACGCAGGTGAGTTTCCATTTTCCAGAAAGTCACTCTTGATGCTTTTTAGGAACGATATTTGATTAAAAGTCTCAAACGAAATCAATAAATAACCAAATAATCAAAGGAAGTTTCTCTTTCTTAATATGGCTGAAGGATTTTATCAATCGGTTAATCTTTATTTAAATAGGGCCTTCCATTGCTTTTGCGGGAGCCCAATGCGCTGATCATACCACACACTAAATACATAAATATATAAAAACTCTCAGGGGTTGGGAGTTAAAACTTCAGACCCATCAGGACAAATTTAACAGAAAATGGAATAAATCAAAACTGACAGTAGCAGAATCTGATCAAAAACATCTAAGTGCTGCTCCCAAACCTTCAAGTTCAGGCAAGAGACGACAACATCTCCGTTTGGTGTGATGATGGGGACGTTCTCACACACGATGCCCTGGTCCACGTCGATCACTTCACCTGCAGACAAAAATATAAATGAACTCAATTATTTCATTCGTGCAAATGTCTATCTGAAAAGACGTGTTGGTTTATTTTAGCCTATCAGAATGGTAATCCTATAGTATACGATTACTTCTGTCTCAGCTCATGCTATGGAATACAACGTTTGGTCCAGTTCATTAAAAGGTTTGGAAGAAAGCAGCTGAACTGAGCAGCATCGTGAAAACGCTGAGGTTTGGTAAACGAACATGCTGGTATTTAAGACGGTAAAAGACCAAATGGTCACAAACCAATCCAAAAGCAAACCACCAGAAAAGGGTGGGATGATATGGAAAACAATCCTGTCACCATAATCTTTATTTATTTATATCAGTATAAATCACGTTATAAAACAAATCACTATTTTTGTCAGCGTTCCCTTGCTAAGTGAGATTTGAAGAAATAAGAAGGTTAATTTTAATAAATAAAAAGATTTATTTTCAAAAGCTGGACAAGTCATCAAACATTATTCCGCTGTTTTGGATGAATGAAAGAGGTTCAGCTGAAAGTAAAATATTCAAGCATTAGAGAACAGAACAAAACTGGAAATGTTCTTCTGCTGATGTAAAAAAAAAACAAGTTATATAAAATAATCTATTAACTCGTTTTAAGAATAAGAAGAAAAAAAATAAACAAATGCAAAAGCTGTTTAGATCTTCAATGCAAATTTGAGCTGCTTCCAAAAAAACGTTAAAACAATAAATTGGAAATCGTCTACGCTCATAAAGGAACAACATCTAAATTCCTCACGGCTTTCTGGTCGGTCGGGGTAGTAATGTTGTACATTCTGCTTGCTCCAGCAGGTGGCGCTGGTTCGGGTCGCTAAAACAGATCGGTAATATTCTTCAACTTTCTCGAAACATGTACTGTATATATTTTTAAATGCAAGCCACGTTGCTTTTTTCTGACTCTTTATCAACATCGCTGTGTCCTCCATCTTTATTTCTTTCAGGGCATTCATGTTTTCATCCTCTTTTTCAGTGATGTTACCAGAAGTACGAGGCTGAAGACAAATCAAGGTTTAAAGCATATGCAGGTGATCAAACAAGGCCACCTGGACTGTAAAGAGAAGTGTGTACACAGCAGAACTGACCCCTTATCTCCAGTGGCCCATCTATGTGCATCTCAGGTTTGCTCTTCTTCTGTGTTCCTGAGGTGGCTGACAGAGACGAACGCTTGTAAACCCCCTTCTGTACGTCATCGAACACCAGAAACATATTGTGGACCCTCGCAGTGTAGCCTGCCAACTCTGTGACCTGTTGCAGCAACATAAGTGGGATAAAAAGTTATTGTGGGAAATGTCAGGAAAAATGTTACCATGACCTGACTTTGTTGCACAGGGATTAGTGACCCTAAACCACCCAGGAGGGGTGAGTAACGTTTACAGCACACAATCCTTTTTGTTGTTAAATCCAGCCATGGGGCAAGCTAGTCTATTCCTATAGAGTTATGGTATGTTCCCATTTGACCAGTTACAGTTAAAAATAGCTGTCACCAGCGTTGAATCCCCCAGTTGTAACTTTTTTATTCTAACTGGTGTTGGGACCTTTAGCACAGATAGTGCAGTTAGGAGGTTGTAAACGTACTCAAAGTCAAATCCCAAAATCTAGTTTATCACAATGTTAGATATAACAAGGGTCATTTACAGACCACCATCTAATCCCGTGTCCTTCTTTAAGGAGCACACGGGAACGCTGCCTGATTGTCAGAATCCTCTAACAACTGCTGTTATGGGAGATTTTTATGGATTTTCTGACTGAAATGAAATATTTAGCTAATTGGTGGACTAGCCGTAGAAAAGCAGACCTTAACCAATCCCGTCTATATAAAAATAATCCCGTATAACGTAGACACAGTGGTTCTCCCCAGGTACTTTAGAGATCACAAGACATAGTTTGTACTTTCAAGTAGTTGTAAAATGCGTTGAAATGTTAGTTTATGCTACCTAGACACAGATGAGGTTTGAGTTACTTGGATCACGGTATCATTTTAGTGCTTAGGGTGTTGCTGTTCCAAATCTGAAAATAATAATACATCTTAAATATAGTTATGGTATGTGGCCTCCAAAACAGTAATTCTGTGCCTTCTGACTGTGCAGCTTCCAGCAGACCTTTGGTAGATTGCAAGTGGACTTATGTAAGTTAAGGTGTCAGCACACATATTGAAAACCAAGCCCACACCCACATGACAACACAGCCACATCTACCTGGTACATGTTATCTGTCACGTTTGAAGCTGATTTGATTAAGCAGGTCAGAGAATGTCCATAAGTAAATCATTTAGCTTTCTGTTCTTGATGTCCATGGCTAAGGCTATAATGACATGTAGTAGTGTAAAACATTGGACTCTACAAACGCCTGCATGTTTGGTGCAAATCTGAGGATTTAAGTTTGAGTTGTAAAAGGTAGGAGAAGAAAATTAAGAAGAAAATATCATTTCTATAGCACATCTCAAGATAAAAATCACAAGGCGCTTCACACAAACAAAAAAATGTAAAAATATAAAACAGAATTTAGAAATTGGTTAAAATATATTTAAAATTAGCAAAAAATAGACAATTGTGATAAAAAATGTTAAGAAAGAGAGAGAGAGAATAGGAAAGAGGGAAATCAGTGGATCCTGAGGAAGGTGGAATAGGTGGGGAGAGCAGAATAAAGAGAGAGGTGAGGAAGATCATACAAAAGCCAGCTTGAACAAGTGAGTTTTCAGCTGCGCTTTAAAGGAGTCCACTGAGTCCACTGATCTCAGGCTCAGGGGGAGAGAGTTTTAGAGTCTGGGGGCCACAGCAGCAAATGATCTGTCACCTTTGGTCTTTAGCCTGGTGCTCTGGACCTCAGGAACCTGCTGGGGTTGTAGGGACTAAGAAGATCACTAATGTAAGATGGTGCTGGTCCATGTAAGGCCCTATAGACCAGAACCAGGAGATGAAATGAACCCTGAAGTTGACTGGCAGCCAGTGAAGCTGGAGGAGAAGCGGGGTGATGTGGGTGTATTTGGAGGACTTGGTCAGAAGCCGAGCACAGGCATTCTGAACCACCTGTAGACGGTTCAGGGAGGCTCTGCTCAGACACGTGAAAAGAGAGTTACAGTAGTCTAAGCATGAGGAGATGAAGGTGTGGATAACTGTCTCAAGTTCAGAGCGGGACAGAATGGGACTCAGCTTAGCAATGTTCCTGAGATGGAAGAAGGAAGAGAGAACAAGAGAACTGACATGAGAATCCAGGGTGAGAGCTGGGTCAAAGGTCACACCAAGATTCCTGATGGAGGGTTTGGTGAGAAGCAAGCTGACCAAGAGAGTCTGACTTTGGGAACCAGCTTGTCTGGGGCACAGATGAGGATCTCAGTCTTATCTTCATTCAGCTGTAGAAAGCTCCCAGCCATCCAAGTTTTAATGGAGTCTAAGCAGGTGTGTAACAGCTGCAGCTTAGACATCTCATGGGGCTTAAAGGAGATGTACAGTTGGATGTCATCTGCATAAAGATGGTAGGAGATTCCTTTGAAGTAGCTCAGGATGTGCTGAAGAGGGGGCAGATAGAGGAGGATGAGCAGAGGCCCCAGCACAGAACCTTGTGGGACACCATGGGTAAGGGAGGTGGTGGAGGACCTAAATTTGGAGACGGTCACAGAGAAGGAGCGCTAGCTAAGAAAGATAAGAGGAGAACCACTCCAGAGCAGTTCCTGGTAAGCCTACCCAGTCTCTCAGCCTCTCCAGTAGCAGGTGATGGTCAACAGTGTCAAAGGCTGCAGTCAGGTCCAGCAGGACCAGAACAGAACAGTCCCCTGCATCACTGTGAGTCAGAAGGTCATTAGAGACCCTAAGAAGAGCTGTTTCAGTAGAATGAGCTCTACGAAAACCTGACTGTAAGCAATCATAGATGTTATGTTGATCAAGAGCAGTTGTGGGTTGTTTAGCCACAACCTTTTCCAAGATCTTGGAGATTAACGGAAGTTTAGAGATAGGTCTGAAGCTGCTATGGAGAGAGGCGTCAAGACTCGGTTTTCTAAGAAGCGGGTGGATTACAGCATTCTTAAAGTAAGCAGGGACCTGACCAGAAACCAGAGAAGCATTCATAATGGAGAGCATGCTGGGACCGATGGACTGAAAAGCACTTTTAAACAAAGATGAGGGTAAGATGTCGAGGGGGAATGCAGAGGTTTTCATAGAGTTAGCTAGTTTGGTTAACTCAGGCAAAGAAACAGGAGCAAAGCTATCTAGGATGATGGGCCTGGTTGGAGTCGGGAGAGGCAGCGATAAGGTTTGTTCTTTGCTAGAAGAGATCAGTGTTAGGGGTCTTGTCAAACTCAAGCTTCAGTAACTTTTACTCCTTCATGTCTTGTGGGTAAACTCACCACATTTTAAATGGTAAATGCATGCATTTGTATAGTGTTTTACACAACAATCAGTCATCCACACGCTGGTGGTGATGAGCTACGTTGTAGCCACAGCTGTCCTGGGGCACAATGACAGACGTTCGGCTGCCCGCCACACAATCAGCACCGCCGGGCACTTTTACCACCACAAGTGGGCAAGCCGGTTGAATTGTCTTACAAGGACTGAAACAGACGGAGCTGGAGTTCAAACCAGCAAGCCACCAATTAGACTATGATACCTCAAGATCCCTATAGCAAGAGTCTGTTAAGTTACATTGTTAAAATGCTAAATGGCCACCTTCATGTTGGGTTTAAGCCATAACTCCCAGAGACTTCTTTGTAGGTCAGTAGGATCACTTTTATGAATGCACCAAATTTCATTTGTGCTACTTTACTTTGGTAAATACAGTCTATGTACTTTACGCATCGAGGCGGACTTGGGCGAAGATTATTAATCACAATCCATTGTTGAGTGGGACGTTTGAGAAGGCGGCAAAACAATGGCTCAAAATATTTATTTTCTAACAAAAGTTAATTTTAAGACTATTAATGATATTTACTCATGCTCTGAATGTTTTTGACTAAAATTGTGTACTACACACTCAAAGTCTTACTGCACACTTCCTCCAAGTGAACTTTGCTGAGGACCGCAGGGCGCAGTGCGAGTATTGGGATTGGGCCTAAGTTCTAGGGCTTTTTCTCCCCAACTTTTTCTACAACCATTGAAACATATATATTGTCACTAAAACTAAAGTATTTTGGAGTATAGTGTAAGTCATACGATAATGTGCTCACCCCTGCCTGTGGCCTTTGGGCCTATAAACACTCCAAAGTGATGCAAACCAACAAGCACATAGGCATGATTTTAAAAACAAGAAAAGAGCATGCATTTTTGTTGTGTGTGTGTGTGTGTGTGTGTGTGTGTGTGTGTGTGTGTGTGTGTGTGTGTGTGTGTGTGTGTGTGTGTGTGTGTGTGGTGTGTGTGTGTGTGTGTGTGTGTGTGTGTGTGTGTGTGTGTGTGTGTGTGTGTGTGGTGTGTGTGTGTGTGCGTGTGTGTGTGTGTGTGTGTGTGTGTGTGTGTGTGTGTGTGTGTGTGTGTGTGTGTGTGTGTGCACGGACAACTGGAGGTTCACTCCTGCAGAGACAATACAGGCTGTTGACACAGCTTGATTGTATTAAACACAGCATTTCTGAGAAACCGACGTGGGGACAGCAGAGATGATTGTCTCATGTGCTTCGACCGAGTTGCAACGCTGCTTTTGAACGGGTTGCCTGGCTGCTAAAGTTCAGCAACAAAAAAGTAAAGTAGTTCCGAGCGAAAGTTTACATGCCCTCACCATGAACGTGTCACGTCAGTATTGAGCTTTCATGCACTTCTTTGAACCAGTCTTTCTCTGGTGTAGGGATTATACAACACATGGTATAGAAAAGAGAACTTGGTGCACAATTTAAAATTTGTACTATATTATTTACTAATTGGTCTCTTTGACATTCAAATACAAAATTGTAATGCCTAACATTATCCTTTAGAACCCTAACCCTTTTGAAATACAAAACAGATTGGAATAAATACATCAAAATGTAGAAAACATTCAATAAAATTAAGAAGTAAATCATTTTCAATATATGTGTATGGATAGAACGTCACTTGGGGTGTTAAACTTGAATATTTGACTCAAGTTTGAAATGGGTTGTGACACCAGTGTCACATTGGGTCCTTAACCCCTCAAGTTTCCAGGTTTAATGAATGCAATGGGGTTGTCCCATGGGCGGGAAGCTAGAATGCTAAGGGGTTACGGGTTAATATTTCATGGAACAACATCAAAACTGATGAGAATCAGACATAATCTTGAATGAGTATTACCAGTATTCTGGCTTAGTTTAA